ACGAATCAGTTGGACGACCAAGGGGCTTACCTTGCCGGAGGGCACCAAGGGGGTCGGTGGCTCGACGGGCGACGACGTCTCGCCGCCTCGCCTCGGTGCTTCACCGTTACAGCCCTTTCTCGAGTCTCTGGGGCAAACTCAAAGATGACGGGTTACATCATTCGATCATGTTCTTCAGCAAATCGCGTGACAGAAATGGTCGGACCATCGCCGCCGGCAGGCCAAGCAGGCCCGGCCCCTGCCGAACGTAGTTGCCGGCGGAGCGAAGCGGAGCTGGCAACTTCGTTTGGCGGAAGGGCGGGCCTGCTTGTTCTCAGATATTTTATGGTCTCCGGTGGGGTAACTTGTCAAAGTAAAACCCCGAGGCACAACATTTTTGACTTTTGGGGCCGAAGGCCTATTTACGACCGTGCCTTTTGCTCGACTCCGGTGTCAGCGCCGCAGGCCTAGGTAGATGTATGCCAGGCGCGTCTCAGCGTAGCGTAACAGTGTTTCGTGAGATATCGCTCGTCCCATCAAGTATTTAAGTATCTTTCCCAATCATCTCTGAAATCACTGAAGTCTGAAGAGCTCCTCTGAAAATGCGTAACCTTTGCAAGCGTTTTTGAAAGTACGCAACTGTCGCGCGCTCCTCTGAAAACACGCAGCCGCTGCGCTCTGGTGAGAAAACGCGCAACTGCCGTGAGGGGTCAAGAAAGTGCTTATCGTGTTTACTGCAATTTCTCAGGAGATGAAATCAAAGATTAGAATGGCTACGACAATTCGTAAACAACGCCTAGCAGTTTGAAACTGTGTCTATATTACCTTCGAAATGTGCTCTTTCAGAAAATCTAGTTTTCAATCAGGTTCACCGCAGCTAACACAAAGTAATGATCGATTCAAAATAGGCTTGCATCTGGGGCACGGTGTGTGCGACTGTGGTTCCTCAGTTTTCTTCCTTTTTCACCCAGTAAAGTTAATGACAGCTTTAAAAAGTAGAAGGAGAGCACGAAAGTAAGTATTTTAATATATTTAAAAACCTTCAGTTTGATGCTTTTTTATGATAAAGCTTCTTACTAAATTGTTTCGGTTGGTGTCCTAACCTTGCATTCTCTCAATACTACTTGTTTATAATAATTGTTCTTTAAACTTTTGTTTCAGAATGGTGCTGGATCAAAGTATGCAATACTTTCATCTAAGTGTTATGTTGTAAAGTTAGTTGTCTCGGCCTAAAAATACATGTTGGTAAAAATTGCAAATCTCAAGACAAAAATCATAATTTTTTTGAATGCGTATCTTTTAGAAATAGGTTTCTAGCTTTTTACTGCTTAGAAGTGGACTATCCTGGACAAACAGCACTCATATTTTATTTTAAAGTTGACTTGTATTTGTATTAAGTTATATGGTAACATATTCCCGCAAATATAGCATTAATTTACAATCGTGAATCTCTTTGCTTCTTTTACGTACTTCTACTAGCCATCAGTTTGCAGCCTTGATTCAGACTGCCTTCCTTGCTCAAGACCAAACCGTCTCTAAAAATATTTTTACTTGATAATAAGACAATTTGATTGTGAGTCCCGTATTAGAGCCAGGACATTAATGTATGAGTGCCCCCACAATGTCTTGTACTTAGCTGGCTTTCTAGACAGAAATCTCGGAGACAAGCTGAAATTATTGTTAGGGTTCGAGTTATTTAGGAAGTGGAAGTGTAACACTATTTAATACAGCCCAACTGACGACCAATAATATTTTTTTTTGAAGTAAAAATAATGTTTTACTTAGTTAATGAAGCTGAAACCATAAATTGGCAACCACAGCCAATCAAATTTGTATTATTGGTTGTCAGTTGGGCTCTATTCAATAGTACAA